TCTTCAACGGTATTGTGGATCTGAACATTAGTTGGGCTCGGGTCCGAGATCCCCAAATTGGCCAGAATGCGTAAGATGCTGCCTTGCTCGCATTTGTTTCTTGCAAGATAGATGACTTGATGACCCAAGGAACAACAAAGTAGACATCTGCCTGCTGACATCCGCACTAGTAGTAAGCTCCCCGGTCGAGTTCGAGAGGTGTCTGATCTGGCCACAGCTTACGAACCCCGTTCTTTGCAGCTGTAACTTGTGCCGTGTCCGTGATAAGCCGATGCTGGTGTAGCAGATTGATCTGATCCGTCGTCCAAAATCTGCAACCAACTCCGTTTGAATCGAATTCGTATTTGTGTCGTCCATTCTCGATCAGCAAATCGTAAAAATGTCTGACCTTCAGGCCGGGGACGACTCCGAGAAGAAATTGTGCTTGAGCATCCTTGGACACAGTATATGACAGCTCAGAGATGATTACATAGGCTTTGGAGCCTCCAGGGAGAATGGTGCTTGGCACGGAGTAGCTAGGCTGGCAATCGATTCTGACAGAGCTTCGGTCGGATGTCAAGAGGTAGAGACACCAATGATTTGTGTTGGCCTTTTTGCTGTGCGGCACAGCAATCAGAGACTGCACTGGTGACTCCAGAATCTGGGCCTGGCGGTGCTTTGGTATAAAATTGAGGGGCTGAAAGTTTGCCATTCTTCAAACCATGTGTCGGAGAGTCCTGGCACACGTTAAATTCTTCAATGCATAACACCACAACAACATGGACACATACCTAAGCGGTAAAAGGTGGAATAAGAAGTTCAAGGAAAAGCGAGGAGAATCTGTTTCGCGTAAGTTTATCAAAGGATGGGCTTGGAGCAGTGAATGGGTGCCCTTAAATATTATCGGGTTCTAAACAGCCTAAGTGCCTCGCTGTCTATCGTCATGATGGATTGTTTCAGAACTCGCCGTGCACATGATAGATGAAAGCCTGGGAAGCCGAATTGCTATAATTAGAGGTTGAAAGTTGAGGCCAGCGCGTAGAGGGACTAATCATTGACAGAAATGCGATCAACCTTTCATTATGTGTGCCGCCCAAGGGAATCCAGCAAGAGAGGGGAGCCAATGGAAGTCAAATGTTCATCTAAATCTAAAACGATCTGCTCTTATCTCAACCGACGTCCTCTAGGTGAAGCCAGCGACTGCTGAGACAAGACTGGTCAGCCGGAACCCACCTGAGCGCTAACTAGGCGCTTGATCCACCTATCAATCTCCCTTCATGGTCTGTTGCGCTCCTTGGCAATGACTAAGCCCAACCATGATAACAATGGAATCAACAATGTTAAAGTTTCGTACATTCAGCTTACCTACCTTTTTTTTCCCTTGCCGTCTTGGAATGGTACCTCGATACGAACCCAGCTTTTTCCCTTCTCACGGACCCTTACACAAAATAACCGAAGAATTAGGAATATGGAAGGACCCTTACGCCCATTCACCGATGTATTGACTCCCTTAATTCTTCCGGTGGTGAATATTGCACTAACAATCTCGACAGCCGGCCAGTAAGGCCTCGGACAGGGCATTCCCGCTGGATGATAAGGACATCAATTGCGTCTCCGATGAATCTCTCATCGACCTCTTCAAGTCTTCTCCGATCCTTTACGATTTCGGCCAAACGACGGTGGTGCGATTGTCTAAGAATCTCGTTTTAAAAGGCGGCGGCAATGTGCTGCCTTGCGAGGCAAAGGTCCTTCAACTAGTCGCATCAAAGTCCAATATTCGAGCTCCTCGTGTCCATCGGTCTCTCCACTTCATGGACGATACGAAATATTTTGGCACCATGGGATATATTGTGATGGATTATATCGACGGCGAGCCGCTTGATGGCTGCTGGAGAGATCTCAGTGATGAACAAAAGATGGATGTCGCGAAGCAGACGGCCCAGATGATCATTGAAATGCAGTCCATCAGGCTGTTGGAGCCAGGCCCGATCGGCGGGGGCCCATGTCGCGGTCGCTTCTTCACGCACTACAGCGCCGGGCCTTTCAAGGACGTGGCCGAATTCGAGGGCTGGTTCAACCACAAGCTGGACATCTGTAAAACATACAAGCACGCATCGTCAGACCTTCCGCCCTTCAAGTTCACCGAGTTTGTTCTCACCCACCAGGACATCAGTCCGCGGAACCTTATTCTGGACCGAAACGGCCTTGTGTGGCTCGTGGACTGGGCAGATGCGGGTTCGTATCCCCCGGCCTTCGAAATGGCAGCTCTATGCTCTCAGTCTCAGTTCATCGACTTTAATGACATGGTGCTGTCATTACTCTCGCGATACCCTTTGGAAGAACAGCAATTAGATTCCATTGGATACGCCCTTTCAACAGCTGCACTGGCTTGATTATTCCTGGATGGACGCCGCCTTAAACATACCCAGTCGTCCTCAGCTTGGCGATTCTCGCTCGAACCACATTTTCACTACGACGGAAGGCAGGTTAATGCAATGGGTTATGATATGGCCTCAAGGCTAACACTACTTGAGATGCAGCGTACTGCTCTCAAAAACCCGTTGTTCAGACACCCATCAAGTGGATACAACCAACCAGGGCAGAAGAACGATCTCAACGCAACAGATGTACACAACAGTCCACGACCACTGCGCAGATCTACATGTCCTAAACCCGACCTTCGGTTATTCCGCCTTGACTCGCATCGTCGCTCACTCCAGTAGCCTCAGAAATAGTGCTAAGAATTAGTTTGTTGGAAGCATCAGAATGAATCATGGATATGAGTTGGGAAGTATCCTCTCGGTCAGCACGGCGTAGAAGATGTAAGAATCGTTCTAGAATATTTGTATTATCTCATAGTTATGGTATCTCGCACAGTCCTTGGTATCCAACATATTCTACGCTCTCCCGTGGGCAATCGTGTGTCGGGTCGGCCTCAACCCGAATACTGCGTAGACGTACCATCCATATAACCAAGTATTTGGGCGTAGTCTAGTGCTTTCCTTTATCGAGATCTTAGTCGTTCGTTCGATTTGGGCGCGGGGGCTGATGAATAGGAAGTAGATGCTTAACGCGCTTTGCTTCTCTATCCAGTTAGAAAGAGAGGCAAGGGGTGGGGGAGGGGGTTATTGTGGCGGTTTACTGGAGAAGGGCAGAGCAATAATCCTGTCGACATTACCGGCGGGTTGTAGAGGACAAGTGTATTCGAGCCTCTGGTTCCAGTCATCATCAGCAATGAACCAAAAATGGCCTCATTCTGTGAGATACCCTCGCATGGGAATTTTTCCGAATTTCTCGATGCGTTGGGGTATATGCTCGATACTCTTGGAAATTATCTTGCCATTCTCAGGAGCTAATATCCCCGTTCCTAGGAAAATGGGGGTTATTCGTGGGAGTCCTAAGACCCCTGGAACCATGGTGTTAGTTCTCGGGAGCAGCGGGGCTACCTCAGCACCTCCTCTAAGCTGTCATTCACTTCACGTAAGGTAGGTAGGACTCATGAGTTTTGATTTGATCACCGATGTATACGATATGTGAGGTTAAGAGCATATATTCCACTTCATTAGATGAAATGGACCGCATTGACCCATACGTTGCGTCTTTACGTGGGAGTCCAACCAATCATCTCCACTATAGCAGTTCATTATTATTGGTTGAATACTATTCATTTCTCCACATTAAGGCCATGAGGATCTGGAAACATCCAAAGTCGAACTGACCTGTGGCTCTCAGCAGCTGGCGCCTGACCGATGCAAGACTGGCAACTTAAGTGGCTGGGCCTAACGTCTACTAGCCTTCCCTCGTGACATCCTGTTTCATTTTAATCAACTGTTAATTAGAGCACTTGACGGCCAGACTTGCGAAAGGAAGGGCAATGCAGATCAGCTAAACTTGGGTTGATTAGAAAACAAACCTAACTCCAGACGCTCGTCTGGAGCACCGGAAGTATCCATTCCCTATTACTAGACCCGCATCTCACGTGATTTAGAAATTCTAGTTTCTCTTTTACCAAGGTGAGAGAGCAGCTATGCTTCGCCAACAAGACTCTACAAAGATTATAGCCGGGAAAAAGAATAGACACGGGACTTCATTGCTTAGGATTTTATACTCTAGATACTCTAATTTTTCTTGGCCAACAATCTATATTGAAGGTCTCAGCATGAGATCCCAAACAATATGTTCTCTTGTTTCCGGAACCTATCCCAAGCCCCACTATATCACATGACAAATTCGGAGAACCACTCATGAGATTCACGCCCAACAACATCGAAATGCCTGACGCATGATGTGTCCACAGATGAAGAGGACAATACCAAAAAGTAAGTATTCGGAGGTAAACTATCCTTTTATCTCTTGCAAGCTGGTGTATACTCGTATCCATATATATCGAGCTTTTGGGAAGAAAAACCATATAACTCGATTTTTTGTCTTTACTTTCCGCGAGAGGACGCTCTTTTAGGATCTGGCCTTGATTTTCACTTTCCTGCCCTCTATTTTCTCTCGATATTCGCAAGAGCGCCAGCTATACGCCGTCCCTTTCTTGCTTAAGTGATGCGATAGGTAACATCTAGTGTGCTACTTGTTAATCTGAAGTTTGTTTGATCTGACTATCTACAGTGGACTATGGCGGCCAAATTGTATTACACACCCATACCGGAAGACATTGCGGATGACAATAACAAGTTAGTAACGGAGGCTATGAATAACGTTCGTTATCAATACTTCCCGTTTCCGTTACCCGAATCAGCTAATCGCAGTTCAGTTTGGAAGTGATTTTGAAGCGTCAAAGATAGATATCGAAGATACCTGGACAGCCTATACTATCAGACTTTTCGAGGCATCTCCCAAAAAACAGTTGGTAATATTCCGCCCACCTCCGTCGTCCAGATTCTTCAATTGTATCAGGGTCCGAAGTCCACAAAACGCGGTTGAATGGGAGATAATGCGGAAGAGTGGTTTATACATGGGGCTCATACCAGTTGACTGTCAGTTTGAGGCGATGCTGGTTGAAGTGAAGCTTATCACGCAGAGAGGGGGTTCGAATTGAAGATCACAGGCAAAGTGGACTCGTAGCCGAATCGGACAGCGTCTTCACGGGGTATAGATATAACCACTGTTGCAACGCGGTCTTCGATAGGAATCGTAAGGATAATGCTATGGCGAGATGTTGATGGAGGATAGAGTTTCAGGAGTCCATCCAACCTGGAAGGTGGAACGAGGAATGCCATTTCGATGACTTCTTGGGCAGGCCCTGTTGAATGTAAGAATGGATGTTTGATACAAAAGACTGAAACCTACTGACCGTGAACTTCAGGGACGCCATACGACCTTGGCTCAGTCTGCTGTATTACAGATTGGTCTTCCCTTCGAGCATCTTCTGCACTTCTATTCACCGCTAGCAAACAAATGTTGTTAGTTGATAATTCAGCGTACATGGCATCCACTCACATATCAAGAAATTCTTGAATTCCGGCGAATCTTGGAGTGGTTGCTCAGCTGCTAGTGTATCCAACACTTCGTATACTTGAGCAGGCCATCGATGTGGATGGTCCGAATCCAGAAATTCAACAACGAAGTCGAAAGTGCTCTTCGATAAATGGTTCGAATCCCAAACACTGGGAATAAAAGCAGCGGCCCATGTGATTGTCCCATCTGGCGTTAGGTTTCGAATTCTTTCAGATCGCTCGCGAGTTAACTTCTTCCTTTGGCGGACTGGCGGGTTGTCTAGTTTTGATTCCTCTGGGGGTCTGAAGAATAACTGTATATTTCTAATGAATGTGGTTTTATTTCTCAACTTGCCGGTGGCCCATAACTCTGATTTCATGGATTCGGCATGTGACAAAAGCTTTTGCCCTTCTAGAATGACAGTATGCTTTCTCCTCTTCACTAGTTCTTTTACCTCTCCAGCAAAGCTAGACGCAATTTTAGCAAGCTCCTGACTTGCTGCTTCTAAAGAGCTATATTGATCGAAATCGAGTTGCAGTCTTCCATGCTTCGCAATCTCTATCATCGAGTTGATCTCGACGATGAGACCCTGGCAACGACTAGCGCTGATGGTTGCCTGATATGGTGATTTGACATGTGGCGGCTCCATATTGCTTATAATGCTTGAGATCTTGAAGACGGGTGACCTAAGTGGGGTGGTAGGTGAAGTTCTGTGAAATTGAGAGGAGAAGTTAATGAAGGAAATTGGACTAGTTGGCAGAACAATGGGAGTTGGGTTATTTGTGATTTTAACCCAAGTTGTATCCGGTTCTTGAGTGCCCTTGAAAGTTAAATAATGGGGACACGTCACATGTCGGGTGATCTGGATCAAACCAGAACCAGAACGTCCAATCACACTTCTGTTCTGACATATGCGGAAGAATCGGTTCCATTTTCCTATCTGGCCGAAACTGCCAATCACGTTAGATTTTCATGAATTCAAATTTAGTAGTAAGTTGGGTGGTTATAAATTACAACCCAATTTGGAGCTTTTTCATCATCTTCACGTACTTGTCTGACTCTCGCCGGAAACTGTCGTTTTCCACACATCGATTCTGCTATTCTATTATTTTCTCGATGTTATGCCAGCAACATAGTATTACATCTAAATATACCGTCTTAAAACGAATCGATGGGCCGACTGATCTAGGCAAGGCAGTAAACAGGCCTCATGAAGTTATAAATAGAGCCTCTGGTTTATGTAGTTTAACCATGCATGGTATTCATAGTTTTGGTTTCTATACCACTATCTGCACCTACCAAGCCTTCTCATTTCTGCATACTCTCACCTGTGCGTGCCAAATACCAATGGATTGTTTTGCCAGCATAATTGCCTTTTGCAGTGGTATTAAATGCCGCTTAGTGTCAAATAGATGCGACGTCCAGGAGGGAGAGGTCTGGAACACATCTGCATCTGGGGCACATCATCTAACAACAGTTCAGGTCTTAATCTTCGTGGGCGCCGAGAGAGGACCGGACGACCTGGTGGTGACATTTCATCGCAACCATTTCCAGGACCGCCTTCCATGGAATGAGTTCAAGTCGCTTGGGCCACCAGCTGCAACTGCAGTTGTCAAAGCTGGGTGGAAATTTGTGGCCTTAGAACAGATAGCGGAGTCAATACGCGCAAGGCGGTTCGACGAGAAGGAACTGGATAACCTTCGAAATGAGGCCAGGGACGAGCGCAAGCGCATTTCCATTCGCAAACCTTCGGATCCAGTTAGTGTTTTCGAAATAGACTAGGCCGGAGTATTGGATGGCCAATTGCTCTAAGCCACTAGCGATAGTAGCCATGCATGTATAGATGCAGCCGATCACTGTACGTAGTATTCGTAAGTAGGTAATGAATACGGTACCTGTCTATTCGATATAACAGACGGCACATAAGTACTAGGAGGTGTTGGCAGGTGTGATTGTCAATAGCCCGATGTGTGCAGCATAAATCCGATAGAAGTTACTTAAGTCGTGGAAGTGCCAACTCAAAAGAAGGTCATATTGACCGGCCGCTGGTCTTCTTTGAATCCAACATGGCTAGCTTGCAAAGGCAACTCGATACTCTCCTTAAAATTGTTAAACAAACATCAAAAAGGTTCATTTGTCCCGAATGTCTTCAAGGCTTCCCGCGCTCCGAAGTATTATACTGCCATTTTCGAAAGCAGAAGGACAACATCCATCAGGGTCTCGACATGAGAAACACGGACTATAAAACATTCTTATTGTGCTATCAAAAGGCCCTCAAGGCCTCCATCCCTGCAGAAAAGCTGCCGCAAGGTCCACAATGCTTTGCGCTCGCATATATTGTTGAGCATTATGAGGAAGATGCTGAGACGCATCAACATTTAATTCCGAATTCAGCCTCTCATAACCAAACAGCCAGTGAGTGATTCTTTATGAATGTGGTTGATGCCCAAACAGAATTGATGTCACGTTCTAACGCATGTATCCATTGTGCAAGTGTGGTCTCATCAAGCAGATTCACTCTTTGATGCAGGTCCATCTTCCTCGGCTCTGCCTTCCGATTACCTACCGCAAGGCGCGATACTTGACGAAAGTACGGTGTGGAACAACTGGGGAAACGTCAGTCCAGGATTTGAAGATGGTTTCAACTGAAATAAAGTCAATCGGGATTGCGGTTGCCGCTCCTTGTTCTAATCTATCTTGGCCGGTGGATGGATGCGTTTTCCTTTTCTTTTAGTGATTATAACATTTCGTATGTATATATTCAGACACTAGTTTATGAATGAGCATAACTCGTGCGGACTTCCACCTTGTTGCTCAACGGTCTATTGGGGGCATGCTCAATTCTTTCCTCACACAGTGATAAGTGTAAAACAAGAAGTAGAAAAGTAAGGAACGATCACACTTGACCCTGACTGAAAAGAATCTTGAAGCACTCTGATTGGCTTTGCCGGGAGGAGAATACATCGTTTCATTGGACAGTTTCAGGTGGAGTCAGTGCATTTCTGCTTGGCTTACGAGCCATACCACAGAATTAATTCTATAACCTGCTCGTATCTGAATGGTTCGTGACTGCTGTACCCTGTTTGCTTCATATGGTGCTTAAAATGCTGATTATGTCTGACCTGGAGAGAAAGCTCAAAACACTTAGAAAGGTCATTGTACAAAGAAGCAAGACAATATTATTCGGACTGTCGACGAAGCTTGTTGATAAAAATCACTATATTGGAACATTCACTCTTCTGTGGACGTACAAACAAACTCTAACACCCCCCCCCCAAAAAAAGCTTCTCTCGAGCCGCTTACACTGCACTTCTGGTAAACGGGTTTGGCTCGACTGGTCATACGAGCATTGCATTCAGCAAATCTACCTGGGTTGGCGGCCAGACTACCTTGTCTGCACGGAGCATTCTCTTGATAACATATCACCCATGATTGTTGTTGGGCAGTCTATCGGACGAAAAAATACAGAATATGAGACCAAATGCGTGCTCAAGAAAGCTTATCAGCCTGACAAACTTGGCTTCGAAATCCTCCAATGTTTCTTTCCGCGTGTGGGGGTCGTTGTATCGTTTCCAGAGCGTCTTGCACAGCTGCTCACAATCGTATGTTGGTGGCGAGAAGAAAATCAGGAGCTCTCGAGATGGCGGCGGTGCGTTTGGACCATAGAAGGATCCATCAAAGTGCCAAGTAAGGAGAGCCAACTTAAGAAGGCCGTTGTAGCTGAGCTTTTCTGTTAAAGTCTCGGCATAGTTATGGAGCAGTTCGTTGTTTGCCAGGCGATCTAGGTATTTCTGCCTATACCCGCTTCTCTGGAGGTCCTGGCAAGTATCTAAGAGATCCAAGGCATCGCGATTGAGCCTATACCGTAGGCGGTTGCAGTCAGCCGCCATCATACTTAAGCACCGTACCTGCAATGCCTTCACTGCTGTCTGGGCTGGAAGGCGGAGAATGGATTCGGGCAGGGGAGCAGCGTTGCAGAGAATAGAGTGAGGCATGGGGACAACGTTGCGAGCCTTTGATGTATAACATTTTAGTAAGGATCATAAACAATCATGGTTAGGAAACAAACCATGGCTTTCATCAATTGTTCGGATGGCGAAGAACACTTCAGAGAGCGACCTCGTTAATGACTTGGTGTTAAAAAATATTCTCATATTTCCCAGAGTCTACAACATCACATAGCCCTTAAGTAGATCAGTCCTCCGTTCGCATGCAATCCTGGCATAGGAACCAAAGGAATGAAAACCTTGTTACTCTTACCTACATAGTACATACTTCCGTATTTGCGGAGACCCCCTGGACTCTCCATTCGGCCCCACTTTGCACATTTCTTGGTGTATTGAAAATCTAGGTAATGGAATATGATGCAAAGTATGCTTCTAGATCACGAGCGCTGGTTGCCTCGCATCTCCTAGCTGCGTATCATTGAAGAGCGGTCGGACACGCGCTAAGTTCGGGATAGGTACCACAGAATATTGATCATCATTGGCTAGAGACAGACACAGGGAATGAGCTGGTGTACGAGTCTGGCGAAATCCTCTTCTGATGTAGACCTGCACAGTCCGCCAAAACTAATTGGTTGGAACAGGACTTCGCTAGTTGTTTGATCCCTTTTGGGAAAAGGAAGGGTAGGGCACAGTTGCTTCTAATAAATAAATATTGGCTTGTTATAACAGAATAGAGATTCCAGTAATCCTCTGATAACACCATCTCAATTAGTGTGCCCGAAACGATCCTCATTACCACCAACCTATCTAACAGGCCTTTTCGCACGATGTGGGACATGATTACCATTTCCTGCATTTTCTGTTTTTGCATTCTATATTATATTCTTTCAATGTGTGGAATATTTAGCGGCCAAGCTCTCGAACTCTGGAGTCAGCATGGGTAAGACTCACTCTTCTTAGCATATGCTCATTTTCTTCCTGGACAAAAATCAATTAACAGTATCATAGACAAATCGCCTGGCAGTCACCGGTGTGACAAGCGGAGGTGTAAGACGGAGCTGAACCGAGTTCTGTGGCAACCATTGAAGAGCCAAGTTGCCTTAATACCAGAGGGTTTAAAGGCATACGGGGAATGATAGCAATGCAAGCCTGAATGACAAGAGGGAGGAACGCCGAGAGAGCGACACTTGAATAGAAAAACTCCCGCTGTCAGTGTGACTGCGTGGAAGGGCAAATGAGTGGGAAAGATGGAATAAAAAAAATCGGGTATGCGGATGTAGCATGATCCAATTATCGAAAAGCCATGAGAAGCGTATGTATTGAGGTATCTGCCAACCAAAAATAAGTACTTTTTCATCCGACCTAAGAAATGACAATCCCTGTATTGCTGAAAATATAATCGTACCATAAAGGAACTATCTGCTTGCGTAGACTATCGATTTAGCAGGACCCAGTCTAGACGTATTTTGGTGTTTTGAAAGTTAACTGTAAAACGGTATAGTCAACAATATGTCCCATAGATAGGCAACGCTGATCCTTTCTCGTTTCCACGAGTCGCCTACAACTGCAAGCCATGGGAAATTGCATGAAGACATAACCAAACTCAAACCCACAAGCAATTCCCTCAGCACTAGTTAGAACATACCTCGGATAGTCTGTTAGAGTTACATCAGCTATTGATGCACCATTGTCCACCTGAGATTATTCTGTCGCAGCTGGGAGCGCGGCACGGACTCCTTCCCTTTTTGTACTTTCTTTCTTTTTCTCCCCACCCAATGACGCCACACCAGCGAAAGACGCGCAGTCAATGTACTGTCAGATTCCTAGATCAGGAAATTACCTCGCCGGGCTGTCTCCGACACGTGCACTGGGCGTGCCTCGTATTACCAAAATCAGGGAGGTTGTTTGACCCGGGGTAGATTGTATAAAGAGGGCTAGAGATTTCCCCCAAGGACGAGTACTAAATCCATCAAATTCAAGTTCAAATGACTTCCGGCATCAACTCCACGAGTCTGCCCTCTGGCATGCTGCCATCAGTGATCGAGGATTTGATTCCAGGCTTTGGTTTCTTTTCTCATTTGGTTTCTCTCTTTTTCGATATCGATATCTCATCTCACCTACGTATCTCTGCGGCAGTCCTGGCCTTTTCGTCCTTCGCTCTCCCAGCATGTTGGAACCGAATTATTTTTCTCTTCCTATATTTTGCAACGTCGACTGAGATATGGAGCCATAACAAATTGTATCCGAGCGCCATGCGCTGGATATCCCTCCAACCAGCTTTGAATCGGGCACGTCAGCTGGTAGCAGGTACAAGGACAAGCCTGTCCACACCATGGGATGGCGACGATGGCAAGGCCGATGATGAGAAAGACGTTCCCATGGATAACCAATCATTTAGTCAGAACCCAAGGGAATTTTGGCTTAAAAGAAAATGTCGTCATCATCTCGGTACACTCCGGTGTACACCTTCGCAGGATAAAATACATTTTTTCACGTACAAAGGCTCTTGGGTTGCATTGTATCGTCAGCCGTATAAGGAAACAGGGAGCCCCTGGTTTGCGAATATGGAGAGACTTCATTTTTATGCAGTGCCGTGGAAAAGACACGTTCTCGATGATCTCATGGATGAGATTCATAAGACCCCTGTTAACGGAGATCCCAAACAAGTCGCTGTGTACGAGGGGTTCAAGGCGGGGTCCAGTTCCCAATGGATGCAAGTGGCATCTAAACAGCCCCGATTCTTATCGACTGTGGTCCTGGATCAAGATAAGAAGAGGCGTGTTGTTGAAGATCTCCGGGAATTTCTAGACCCCAGCACCAAGAGCTGGTACGAGTCCCGCGGCTCCCGTATCGACGAGGCTATCTCATTCATGGTCCGCCGGGTACTGGTAAGTCAAGCCTGTCACTAGCACTTGCCAGCTTTTCGTATTTGGACATATACGCGCTCAGCCTGAGTGCAGTTGGCCCTGATGAGACCATCTTGGCTACTTTGTTCCGAGACCTACCAAAACATTGCATTGTTCTCCTGGAAGACATCGACGAAGCCGGCATCAAGAAGCGCAGCAGCGATAGCCCCCCGAGCGGAAAGCCAGATCACAGTGGAGTCGACCGTATCCAGTGGTCAGCTGGGAGTGTCACCCTTTCCGCCGTCTTGAACGCTACTGACGGCGTAGCAGCGCAAGAGAATCGCGTTTTGATCATGACCACCAACCACCCCGAGCGGCTGGATCCCGCTCTCTTACGGCCAGGGCGTGTGGACATGAAAATCAACATGGGTCCAGTCCAATGGCAAGAAGCTCGGCAGATTTTTCTCATGGTTTATTTGCAACCTACCGACACTCATTTTATGGAGATCACACCATTATCCATACCAGCCAACCCTGATTGGAGGCTGGAAGATATTGATAACTTATCCACTGCGTTCGCCAGCGAAATCCCTTCGGGCCGGTTCACAGCTGCGGAGTTACAGAGATATCTTTTGCAGTACAAGCATGATCCTTCTGCCGCAGTGCGCAACGTGAAGCGGTTATTATTCGGTCTTGAGTGCGACACGGACCTATCGGCGTTTCGCATCACAGAATCGTCTCATCAACTTAGATTCCACGACACCGCCTGCTGTATCAGAGTTAGTGCCCATATATTCTTGTGGGACTTGCCAGAACCTTGTATCCTTCTTATTCAGCGCGCTCTTTGCGATAGCAAACCTGGATTTTGGGAGGTACCCGCTGGGAGTTGCGAAGAACAGGACAAAACACCGCGAGATGCCCTAGAGCGAGAGGTTCGGGAAGAGACTGGCCTGCAGCTATCCCGAGTCATTGACGCCCTCCCGATTCAGACCTGAACGCGATCTAAGGAAGGCGAACAGCACGAATGGGTTGGCCTTCCATACATCATTGGGGTGTCCGAGCTCGAACCTTCCATATCCCACGAAAATAGGCAAGGTGGGTCAGGGCAGCCACTAAAATGGAAGGACGTAATACAACTGAATCCTAAGGAGCACCAAGATTTTGCATGGGCAACAGAGGATGAGGTGCGACGCGACAAGTATGAAATGTTTGGAAACCACAAGGAGACTATCCTTGAGGCTTTTGCAACAGTGACACAGAACTGCTCAGTCTAAGTCCAGTGTTGGCGGATGGGGTGCAGGTATGGTATGGTGCTGGAAGATGAGGCTGGGTAGTTTGAATGATGGAAGCCACGGGAAAAAGGTGTAAACTCAACAAGCTTAGGATCAATTGCAGCTTTCGGGAGAGGCTTCATGAATGTATTAGAAGAGGGGCTCAGCCGAGAAAGAAGCAACAAAAGCCAATACAAGCTGTCTGGGTCAATGAACTTCCGTATTTAGTCTCTCCACATGACATTATCACGTGGATAACTCTCCATTCCGTGGCAGGGTCTATCTTTTGACCCTTCCAAACAAACCTTTCGGTTTCCTTCCATCCTGGTGGCCAGGCTGTACTTAAGCCTACTCCCACGACAATCATCAAACTGGCCCACAAACACCGACTGAACTATTCAGGGTATCCAACTACCAGTGGTAATGAGTGGTATCAAACCGAACTGCAACTCGCGGTGTTATATGTATAATTCTATTGGGCATTATTTAATTTTGTTTATTTAATTCGTTGGGACGTTCTGGTTATCTTGTGGGAACGCCAGGAGCAAAATGTGCCGGACTCGATCTGGAAACATGTTAAAACTTTGGTCTGGGGGTTCTTCCCTCTCTCAACTGTATATATATCGGTTGATAACGTATTGGGTAAACGAGTGGGCCATGTAGTCCAGCGGGCCAACTTGTATTCCATATAAAATGGCACATTTACAAGTCAATTATCTCAATAACCAGAACTAGTAGTTATGTGATACTCAATATAAGTATATATATAGTGAGTTTAAATATCATATATTTTAATATATTTTTAATACATTTTTCTAAAGCTCTAAATATAAATATAGATAAATTACACAAAATACATCGTAATTAATGTTATTTAATGTAATATTTAATACAGAGCTCTGTCTACCTAATATATATATTTATAGTGATAAAATAGTTAATATACTAGATAAACGATTCGTTGAGTACCTTCCGCTCAGGAATCGGCCATCGTTATCCTATCGTTATTCTGCCTTGTGTGTCCGCCTTCGATTAAGGTGCGCTAGACAAGGGTCTGTAACACTTTTATGTCCCCCAAATTAGTGAGATAAAGGTACAGATGCGGAATAATGATATTTATATACTAAAACACAAAAGTGTCTTTTTTTCCGGGAAAAGAAAGCGCGTTGTAACACATTTTTTGCCAAAAAATATTACGAGAAAGTGGAGGATAGAAAGGATTTTGGCCATATTTTGCTAAATTACGATGTGGCCGACACCGACAATTGGATAGTGATTAAGGAGCCAACAAAGGAACAGACGGAAGATTCAGTTGTTCCTAAAAGCATATGAATACTGCCAGAAGTGCGACGCAGATTTTTCTTTGACGATTCGATTGAGGCATAGCGGCGAGATTGTCTTCTTTGATTCCGATGGGTCCTGGCCTCCGTCAAAAGAGCAGCTGGTAAGTGGATCCATTAATCCTGTCAGATGTCTAGATTCTAACCAACTTAGGCACCGTACTATCCAAGGCCCAAACAGGTCACATCGCAGGAAATTGCGGCTCGATATAAGTCATAAGCATTTAACATAAATATCCATACTAGAACAGAGAGTTATGTGGCAGTATTACCCCATAGCTAGGCTCTTGGGCTCCGGTGATGATGGTTGTGGGCATCTACAAGGGATGTATCTAGAATATAGCGCCTCCACCAATCATTGTCTAGGATATAAAACATTTCTAGGCTACGGTGTTTCACATAAGCAACAACCTCATTTCAGAAAGTTGAGCGTTGCTTAGCTTGCTCATCATCAATTGGCATTCATTGTCCTCTTTTCTAAATTTAGATCTTGATTTCTTTATATAAAGATCGTTAATTTAATGGTTGGCAAACTGTAGATTGAGAAGCAGAGGATATATCATAGTTCAACCTTACCTTAAAACTCAACAATCCTCTCTCGACACAGACCAGTTACACTGATACTCATGTTTAAGGTCTTAGGGATGGAATCGAATAATATCATGAAACCGAAACTGCAGCCTCAAGTACTTGTTCCTACCTTGAAGCAACTAAAGGAAAAGAGGGACCAACGTAAGCGAGAAAAACAAGCTGCCCTCATTGATGCTAATTTGAGATCTAGAAAATATGTGCTCTTTCTACAGGAAGTTCCAAAGATCAAGACTAGCCACTGCCGCGCATGGGATTGTATGCCTAGGAGGAGCACCAGGAATCTAATATTCCGGTTTTATTATCGATCCACCTTTCTCTTACGTCTTACATGCTTATATTATGGTTCATAAAGCCTGTATACGAGTATGTAACGATTGAATTAGACATTGTGCTAACCTGCCTTTTCCCATCCATCTTGTTATCACGGCACAGGTCAACTATTTATTAGAATGTCGATGTTTTAAAGATCTACTACTCCACATATAACGTCACGAGCTTGTTTGGCGCCTATTTCTTCCAGCCAACTTTCAACATCAGGCTTATAATGCTTCCATTGTTCCTCCTGAACAATGTATTTATTCTGAAAGAGTGTAATATCCACCTTGACATGGCCGATATTGTCCTTTTTATAATTGGCCTTTGTCATTTTCTCGGAAAGATTGTAAAGGATGGTTCGAACAGCTGTATAGATGTCAGTATTTTTAGAATAAGTTCTTATGGTACTTAAGGTTTGGCTTATATATATCTACAGAATCCTGTTTCTTATTGAACTTTTTAATCAAAAGTATAAATAAGAAAGTCTTTCGTATCTCAATACTTTCTGAATTTGTAATGAGATCTGAAAGTCCTTGGAATGTTTTTTCCAGAGATCGCGATATGTCTGTTGGAATAATGATTGCTCCCAGTACTTTCTTAAGGAGCTCCAGATAGAACTTGCTTTTTTTAGTATCCAAGTAATAGGTCTGCGACTGTCCTGAGGCAGCGAGTATCCTATATAGAAATATCAGTATCTTTTTTTT